ACTTACTGATTTAATCTTATTTATTAACTTCACATTTTCCCTCATTTATACTCTTATGCTTTTTTTTATCCTTATTTGATCTCAGATGATTATCATTTCATCCGTGAGTTTGAATACTCTCTTATACCTCTGACAACAGTTTTTACTTATCAACCATAATAAGCTGAATTACTATATTAAATCATGTGCTGAGTCACTTTCCCCTCTATCTGATTAGTCCATAATCTCCCATAAACCATCTCTCCATGAATTTGAATTCTGCCAACTACTCTCGCCCTTAGGAGAGTTCCCCTTATACGTTGTCACAACTGCTTAAGATCTGCTTTTTTATTTTTTCATTTATTGTATGTGGAGTCCTCTTCATAATTTGTAGCCTCCCATCATCTTGTACAAAGCATTTGTAGTCCTTGTTTCTGCCCTTTATAAAAAAAAGGAATCAAAGCCTGATTGAATTGAAAAATTTGGGGAATTATGTATCTACTTGGTGCCTAACCTCTTTCTCCCTGCAATCCATTGCTTGTTCTGTCCCCAAATCAATTTTAGGGTTGTGCAATTTTATACATTCTTACATGCTCATTAGCAGTGCTGAAAAGCATTACTTTACATACCATTCAGGCACCTAATACCAGGGTTGTAACTTATTAATTGCTGAGCTTGCTTTCACTTGCTCTTTCCCAAATAAAATGTAGGGCCTGATCATAGGAAAAGTTTAGCCAAGAAGTTAGTTTATTTAAGTTTTTGGGGTTGGAATTGAGATGTTACAGAGTATTGGCGGTGAACTCTTTGGCAAGCCCAGTCTTAGGAATAGAAAGGGAATAAAGACTTGTCTGGTGTGTCTTCACAGTAACAATTGCACTGAGTCACTGAAGCGTGCCTGCCAGAACCTGTGCTTGGTCTGAGTTTTGCAGAACAACTGCCAGAAGAATGCGTTTGTTCAAGGGGTTTGAAGATTGTAACCTCTAAGTCAAAAGTTTACCTAACCAGTAGTGGTTAAGCCTACGTGGTAGTTCAAAGAGGTGCATTACCTGAGCACTTGGCCTCTTTTGAACGGTGCCAAGGTAGGCCGTATGGTGCTGTGTGCTCTGAAATAACTGCTTTGTCTTAGAGGTTGAAAGTGAAATTGCAGTAGTTATTTGACCAGTTTAAAAAGTATGTAAGGTTTACAGTTTATTGCTTTTCATAAAGGAAAAACAGCATATTTCTTTTATTCCAACAAGATAGTTATTTTACTAATTTGTCCTTTTTTTCATAAAGGTTCTTAATTTATTAATCCTCATGAAAAACCTGCAGTCACCACAGATAAAGTCCCCGAAGAATCTTCTCTCCTTCTGTTGTCATGTCTTGCAAGTCTATATTTAGGTTCATTTTTCTTTGTTTAATCTAAGGAATCATAAATCGTGCCAATGCCAGTTGTCTCCCCACCACCAAAACGGGTTCTGAATCCAAACACAAAGATGACATCTGCTGTGGTCTTGTACATTTTGGCCAGTTTTCCCCGAATTTCTGTCGGGTGCTGTTGCCTTCCCAGGGTGAAGGGCACTGATGACCATTTGTTTCCACTGAAATAGTCTGTTGGTCATGAGTTTCCTGGTCCGGATAGTTACTTTGTTGTTCATGGTGGAGGTTGATCTTCAAGCAGCCAGGGAGGAAAATCCTTTCTCTCTTTCTTGATAGTTCTTTTCTTGTAAATCGAACTCTTCTCTCTGTGGGCACCGGAACTTAGATTTCATTGCATCAGTGCATTAATTTTTCTAGCTGTTGGATTCTACATGAGCTAGAGCCAGGGGATTGGACCCAGTGGAATCACTTTTGCTTCCTGTCTCCAGCATGTACCAGCTTCATGGCCTTTTCAGTGGCAGCTCCAAGCTGGTTCTTCATCCTTGGAGTGTGAGGGGATCAGAGTCAGCCCACAGGGTTGTGGGTAAAGGGAGTGCCTGTAGTCCTGATCACAGTGGAGGTGCAGTATGTGGTACTGTTACTCATTCATGCAGCCAGCTTTTTAGATAGCCAGCCTGCCAAATTCTAGATATAGAAGTTATGAAAGTACAAATGACTTGATCCTGCCCCAGAAAACCTTATAGTTGAGTACATCCTTTGGGGCTTGACCCAGATTTTATTGGTGTGAATGGGATTGGTTCTAAGAGATTTGATTCTTTTTAATGGGTATAAAGGTGCTCACCCAGGTGTGCTGTAATAAATTTTGCCATTCTTCACATTCAGTGACCAGTTCTTTCACATATAATTTGTGAAGTATAGTATGGGATGGTATACTAATATTCTAGGCGTCAGATATAATTGTGGGACAAGTAGGGGCTTTAGCAGCTGATTTCTTTGAATTTTTCCCTTATCTCCAAAAAATAAAACCTTTACCTGTTGTCGGGTTACATTTCCCCCAACTATATAGATTTTTTTTAAAAATCACAATGGCATTTGTGATTAATTTTCTAGTTAATGGTTTTTAAGTAACTTTTTTTCTTACTGGAGATGTAATATCTGTTTGTTATCAAAACTTTAGAAATTATTTTTCTTCCCCTTACTTAAGAGCATGCTTCTTATGTTAAACTACCCATCTCTGGTGATGTAAATGTGGTTTCTGGAAGATTCTGTGGTTACTCTTGGCTGAGTTGGCAGATGCTGACAGTATGCTATGTGTGCTGATTCTCATGTCAGATAAATTATACCCGTGAATTTTGATTAAATGAAATGCCATGTGTAAATCCCTAGTAATTGATAGATCTTGTTTAATCTTACTAGTTTATCATTGCTTTTTGAATGAGTGTTTCTTTGGAGATACCTTTAGCAATCTTCCCTCAGTGGTCACTGTCCCTCCACACTTAGGTACTGAATAAGTTTTGTATATCTGCAGGCTTGTTTTGCCATTATCTACCTGACACTCTGAAGGGGGTAATTTCAGAGTCTGGAACAGCATTTTTTTATGGTCCCTTTTATTCCTTAACAACAAGCAGAGCTGAAAGTCATAACATATACTTTCTGACTTACATACTTTCTGATTGACTCTAGAATATATTCATGGAAGCTGGGCATTCAGTAGCGAGGCAAACAACTGACAGGGTATTTAGTCCTCTGCTCACAGCAGGAAGCATGGTTGGATTACATGGTCATTGACGTTTCAGGGAATTAAGACAAATCAGTTTTATACAAAATAAACGCAATGACTAAGAAACAGAGAGATTCATTAACTGTGGTTTTGTTGTTGATGGTTAATATTGAATATAATTTGTCAGTTTTTTTCCTTACATTTATTCCAAAGATATGTCTTTTATTTTTTGTTTGTGTGTACCCCAGCCAAGCCACCATTCAGGAATATACCTCTTGAATAACTTTTTCTTATATACCACTATGATTGCTACTGCCAAGTCCTACATCTGAGGACTGTGGTGTCTAGCCTGGCTAACATAGGAATTTAGCTTCCTTTAGATAAATATTGAGTGAGATCTCTATTTACAAGTTAACAGTTTTCATGTTTTTTAGAAACTTATCACAGGATGTTGTTAGTACATTTGGTGGTGAAAAGGCTTCCTTGGCAAGAATTACAGTGTTGCATGTAGGTGGTCAGTATGAAAGAGCCAAGTTTTAGCATTTGTTTTCATTAGGAGATACAGTGATTATAGCGAGGATTCCCAAAATAAAAATTGTTGGTGAGATTATTGAAGAGGTATTTTTAGAAATACTGAAGGATTGTAATCTCTAATATAATTTGCTTTTTGGAGCATAAATAATACTTAGGCAGACTTGGGTTTTTTTTGCTTTTGTTTTTCACTATAACATTTCCTCAAAAGTCATGCTCATAAATTGGGTGGAGGAAGTAGAGAGGGAGCTTTTACTGATTCATTCCTTCGACATTTGGGCATCTCCATGGAAGAAGGTAAAGGGGAAGAGATAAGAAGGGGTTAAGATTTGTGTAAATGTACAGATTGGAAACTGTTCACTTTCAATGTGTAGGTTCATCATAAACCACACTGCCTAGAGATGAGTATTAATATAACTGAGGAAGTGAGCTGAGTTTTTATGTTTATCAGAATGATAGCTGTAAGGTTAAGCATGGTCTATGATATTATTTGTATTACTACCCTTTCCACTGATCATTGTTCAAGCACACGAAAAAGAATCTTTTTGTGTGCATGAACAATAGAGTCCAATATTAATAATGGCCTTTGGACAAAAATGTAGGATGAGGGCACTCTTGGGTGACTGTTGACTTGATAGCTTCGTACATCTTACTCTGCATTTATTTAATTCAGATATAGTTCTTTTTAAAGTAGTTTTTGTTTTCATTGATTGTAGAGAGATGAAGGGAGAGAGAGACAGAGAGACATCAGTGTGAGAGAGAAACATCACATTGACTGGTTGCCTCCCGTACGCATCCTGAATGGGGATCAAACCAGCAACCTGGGTATGTGCCCCGCTAGGAATCAAACCAACCACCTTTTGGTGCACGGGATGATGCTCCAACCAAGCCACACTGGCCAGGGCTCCATATATAGTACTTTTTTATAGCACTGTTTTAAGCATTCATCTACAAATATTCATTAATCTACTATTAACTCATTTAATGGTTGATCATTTATTCTAGTTGTTAGAGAATATAGAAGGAAATAATTTAAATGTATCCTGTCTTTCTTTCTCCTCTCTCCCTCCCTCCCTCCTTCCTTCCTTCCTTCCTCCCTCCCTTACTTCCATCCTACCTACTTATCTACCTACCAACCATATGGGGCTGGCAACAACCCCCTGTCTCTTGGTAGTTCTGCCTTTAATGCTCAGACCTGGGAAGGATTCCATTTTGAGATAGTAAGGAGCTTGGACTGAACTACTTTGTGTTATGATTGTAAAACTTACATTTCCATGAAATAAAGTATTGGAGGAATAAATAAAACTTATCCCACCCCCATTTTAATCAGTCAGCATATTTTCTACTTATATGATAAAGGAGTTGTTTGAAGTCATTGTAAATCGCCCTGTCTGTGCCCCGCCCCTTCCAGCATGCTTGAAGATGACCTCCAGCTCAGTGACAGTGAGGACAGTGAGAACGAGCAAGTAAGTTGTGTGTATCCCGTAATCTGGAGTCCTTTTACATCTGTCTGACTTTTCTGACCTGCTTACCCTAACCTGTCTTTTTTCTTTTCCTCCCCCTTCTCCCCCTTGTTGTGAATGCCTAGGCCCCGGAGAAGCCTCCTTCCACATCTGCACCGCCAAGGTACCGTGTGCGGGTTTCTCCCCTCTACCCCAGTGTTCGCAGTTTTCTACTGAGTGGGAGCATTACAGCCTTAGCACTTTCATAACTTCTTCATGGGGAAGGAGATGGAGTATCACAGCTAAAAGAAAGTACCTGTGTAGTATTTTGGAAGCTTCAATCAGCCTTAGAGAGGTGGTTAACTCTATAAAGGGAAAGAACCCTACCCCCACCTAAACCATCACTGTCGGAGAAAACATTTTTTGAGAGTTTAAAATAAGCCTGAATCACTTTCCTCAGTATTATGTAACCAGTATTTGAAAAGTTATGCCAAAGAGCCCAGTGTTTCTATGAAAGTGACAGATTTGCTGTATTTTCAAAAATTATAAAGCCAAATTTTCCGTGGTGGCTGTTTTCTTAGTCATGAATTTTCTAATTGTTTCTGTGGCTTTTTAAAATGGCCTGCAGTGCATTTTAGTGAGGTGGAAAATGGCACTGTTTCATTTTGGAAACAACTTGGCTATATTTTAGAAAACATTATGCTTTAATTTTTGGAAATGGAAACTAAACCACCTCTGGTATTGAATTTAATAATTTAATATGCCAATACCTGACCTCCACGGACAGGGAAGAGTTAAATTACACTGTAGCTGTTTTACTCCCTTGAGATGTGGTCATCCATTCAGAGACAGGCTCGGCAATAGAAACTTTCCTCGCATATGTGTGACGTGATGGTTAGCGTGGAGGAAGCTCATATAATTTTGCCAGGTCTTACAGAGTCATAAGCTCTGCTCATTTATTTATATTTCATTTTGTTCAGTAATTTCTAGTGGCTTATAATGACTCATAAAATATGACAAACTAGCCTAACTTAAAAGAAGAGGAAAAGAAGATAGAAAAAAACAAAGTGGGGATAAATCAGAGGCAGAAATAACACAAAGTATATATCTCATTCTGATCCTCTATGGCAGGGGTCCTCAAACTACGGCCCGCGGGCCACATGCAAATACAAATATTGTATTTGTTCCCCGTTTTGTTTTTTTACTTCAAAATAAGATATGTGCAGTGTGCATAGGAATTTGTTCATAGTTTTTTTTTAAACTATAGTCCGGCCCTCCAACGGTCTGAGGGACAGTGAACTGGCCCCCTGTTTAAAAAGTTTGAGGACCCCTGCTCTATGGCTTAAGCTCTTCAGCTCCCAGTGTGAAAATGATCACAAACCTAACCACATTTTTTCTGAGGAAATTGTCATAGTATAGTGTGTTTGCTTTAAAATGACCTCATTTATTTTATTGGTTATAATTTTTAAATTCTACATTAATATAATTTTATTTAATAAATTTATTATTTAATGTTTTAGGTAGATTTGGAGGCTTTCACGAGTATAAATACTGATTTATTGCTTTGGCTAATTCCATTAAAACTGCAAGTTTTAAGATATGCTTTGAAATTCTGTATATGCCCAGCAGTGTTTTCTCATTGACCCAGAGCTATTGTCCTATTCGTAAAACTTGCAGTAGTTAATCTCTCCTTCAGCTGATATTTGGAGGTCATCCTAAACCACTTATAAACAATGGCCTACTTCATAATTCTGCCCGAATGTGTCGTGCTTGTTTTTGAAGTCACTTTCCATAGGAAAACCATATATATTTAGTAGTCTTTGGCTATCATACAGTTAGTTCTCATCTAGACAGTAGAGAGATTTTAATGTATTGGCTGTTCTTTCATAAATGAACTTGTTTGGGATATATATCTATCTATAGATAGATATTTATATATTTATATACCTATCTACATATCTTAGGCTTTGTGGGCCATACAGTCTGTGTTAAAGCTAGTCAGCTCTGCTTTTACAGTATAAAAGCAGACAGACAATACAGAAAATAATGGGTGTGGATGTGTTCCAATAAAACTTTATTTAGAAAAACAAGCAGCCAGTTCTGGCCATAGTTTATCAACCCCTGACATAAAGCACCAAGCATCTACATTAAATTAGTTTAGCTTGAAATGCTTTCAGAAGCAAAATTCCACAGGCTTCTCTTTTACATTGTTATCTGATGAGCTATTTTAAGGTGTTTTTTGTTGTTGTTGATTTTTTGAGTCATTGTAGGTCTTTCTCTCAACCGGACGATATGGTAATTTACTAATGTTAGGTAATATTGAGGCCCTTTCTTTTGAGTACCAGAAAAATGGGCAAAACAGGACAGGAGCAGAAAGGGGGATCCACCTTGCGTGGTGCCTTCAGATGATCTCTTGGTTGCTTTGCAGCGCTCCGCAGTCACTTCCAGAAGCAGCGGCCTCAGCACATTCCAGTGGTGCGGAGTCAGAGAGCACCAGTGACTCAGACAGCTCCTCGGACTCGGAGAGCGAGAGCAGCTCAAGTGACAGCGAGGAGAATGAGCCCCAGGACACTCCGGCTCCTGAGGTACCGTGTCCCCTCCAGGAGACCGTCCGGGACGGCAGCATTGGGGGCTGGAGTCCGCCATAGGCCAGACCAGGAGCCTGAGTGGCTCTGTCCCCTGGGGCAGTGCTTCCCTGCTCCTACTGGTGCAAACAGGCTGTTTCTGTTTACTTGTTCTTACCGAACCTTTGGCCGTGGAGGTTTGGGAGAGAGGTCTTCTCTCTTCTGTTTAAAGCGATAGGTTCTCTGTTGTTGCTAGTGTGTTTTGAAGAGCAACTCATTAAGGATGTTTGCACACCCTTTTCTTTTCCCTTCTCTTGGAAAAGAAAACTCATTTTTAGTGGGCTGCTGTTTTAATATTAATGAGATTTCTTTTTGAAATTTCAGGAATGCATGAATTAAGGAAATCAAAAGGAGACAGTGTGCTTTAGCAAAGGGCAGGAGCATAAACTAGAAATAAGTCATCAGAGGTTCTATTTTTGAATCACTAAAAGCCATGCATTAAATGGATGGCGACTTGATTTTGCCAGGGCTGTGTTTCTGCGCCCTCTGCCCCATGCAAAACAGGGACTATTGTGTTCGCCTATCGCTGCCCCCTGGGAAATATTGTAAAGATAAACAGATGAGTTTGAAAAATCTCAAACACCACATGTTTCTAGAGGATTTATGTTGCCTCCTGGATTGTCTAGCACAAGAAATTTAGTAACAACTAATGAGGTTGCCAAATGCCTTCAAAACTTGGAGTAGCAATATAAAAATTATGCTGGAGAAGGACACGTAGTGGGAAGGGAAGGCAATTTTGGAAGACCTGCTTGTATAGAGAGAATGATTCTGCATATTTAAGATGGGAATTCTGAGAAATGAGACTTTCTAATTAAGAAAATGTTCAGGTTCTCAGTATCTGTCTCTGCTGTTTAGAAAGCGAGGCAGTTAGTTCCACTACAGCATTAACCGAATCCATCTGGAGGTCATGGAGCGAGAGCCGTGTCTGAGGGCAAGGGAGGCTGAGGAAGCTACTGAGTGTCATTTTTGTTAGATGTGAGTGTATATCTGGCACAGAGTAAGTGCTCAGTAAATGTTTTTTGGAGTGCATAAACATAGATCAGCATATGCTGCACTTGGTGTGCCTTTTGGGTTTTAGAAACTGCTCTCTGTGTTTCTGGGGGTTCTTTGTTTCCTTCTGTGATCTAATGACTGTTGAGGTGATTTTTCTATGCCCCAGGGAAAAAGATACTGAATATGCTCTGCAGACAAACTATGTGGTTGTTCATGTTAATGTTTAGAAGATCTTTGCTTTGTGTCTCACCTTATTCAATAAGAAAAATCTGTGTGTTCATTACATTACTGAAGGAACAGAATTCAATTAAGTAATAAAATTCGATTCAAATAAAGTAGAAATGGCACAGATTTGACTGAATAGTTGAAATTTTAAAGAAAGATTAATCTAGTATTTGATTTAATGAAACCATTACGTCCTATGCTCAAGTGGTTACTGAAATAGAGTTAGAGAGTATTAGATTAAAAAAATTAATGTTCCCACCCTTACTTATTATAGTTATTTATTAAAATGTTAGTTCATGTCTTTTATTCACCCACATTCAATTAGATGTCTTTTGGTTTGTTGAAGCAGTAGGTCAGACATTTGCCACAATGATGTCTGTCAACGTGGCTGGCCACAAAAACTCCAGCACACATTCCTGAAGGGCACTCCCAACGAAGGCGACTGATTTGACCTTTCTCATCCACCTTTGATAGGACACACACACACACACACACACACACATATTCAGAGAGGAAGGGAGACGGGGAGAGAGAGAGAGAGAGAGAGAGAGAAACGTCAATGATGAGAGAGAATTATTGATTGGCTGCCTCTGGATCAAGCCTGCAGCCCGGGCATGCCCTGACTAAGAATGGAACGTGTCTTCCTGGTTCATAGGTCAGCGCTCAGGACAGCAGCTTAACCTTCTTTCTCTCATGCTCATTCTTGGGAGTAGTGTAAGAATTCTTCCTTTTCTTACCACCGCCATGGAAAAGAGTGGACTCCTTTGGAATGTTGTAGGCAGACCAAATACGTCCACTTCCAGTTGTTTGCCAGCAAAGATCAGTCTCCTGATGAGAAGGAATTCTTTATCCTGGACCTTGGCCTTTACATTTTCTATTTATCCCAGGGTTTAACCTTGAGAGTGATGGTCTTCTCCATAAGGGTTTTCACGAAAATTTGCATCTTTGCAGCGGTTCCACCACAGATGTCATATGGAAAAAAGTCTACTTTATTTTTTTTAACTACCTTACTAATAGGTCCATATTTGTACTTTGTGGTTGCTGTGCAAATCTAACCTTGGTATGATTTGTGTTATATATTGAGTTTCAGCTTCCCCAGAAATAGTTTGTCTTTGCCTAGATTTTAAACCTTTAATTTTCCCCCAGGTATTTAACTACTTTTCTTTCCTTTTAAAATAAATGCTTGCATTATTGTAAATCTCTTGTATTAGTTGAGAGTAATGAATTCCATACATAACAGGCCATAGTTACTACTTATTACTTTCTCTTTTTTAAATTCTATTTTTAATGCTGAAAATTTTGCTTTTTACGGCTCCATTTTAAGTTCATTTGATGAAATAGTTTAGTAACCTTTTGAGAATATGAGATGCTGTCTGCCTGCCCAGTGAGCTGGTGGGGAACTTGGGGAAAAGCAGTGTTTGCTTTACAGTGGGCATCAAAATACAAAATGTGTGGGACACCTCACCTTCTTCCGGTTCAGTGAAGTTCAGGGGAAAAGAATTGTTCTGTTCTCCATTATTCAGGGATCTTCTTAGTTTTCTAATCTATTCTTTGTCCATTTCTTTGGTAGTTAGCTACCTTTGGGTGATTGCCTGTGGGGCTCTTAACCCTCCCTCAACCCTAAAAGGTTGTTAGCTTTCTTTTCCCCTACTAGTATAGGGTAGCACTAAAGACTCAAACCAATAGCCCTTTAGCTCTGAAGCCCTTTTATTTGATACTACCAGCTGTGGACCAACCAGGGCCCGCGGGCCGGATCCGGCCCGTTTGAAATGAATAAAACTAAAAAAAAAAAAAGACCGTACCCTTTTATGTAATGATGTTTACTTTGAATTTATATTAGTTCACACAAACACTCCATCCATGCTTTTGTTCCGGCCCTCCGGTCCAGTTTAAGAACCCATTGTGGCCCTCGAGTCAAAAAGTTTGCCCACCCTTGTTAACTACACCATGCTGCTTCTCTCCTTCCTTCTTTGCTTTTCGTTGTCTTTTAATTTTTGGGTGCATACTCCCTCACAACTAGAATGTTTTACTTAGAACAGTGGGCATCTGTTGTACATAGCTCAAAACTTTTCACAATCATAATTCACTCTAAAAGATATGAACTTTTGCCAGTTGAAAAGTTAGGAGAGGTAAAACATTAAAATGCTGAATGAAATAGATCACATTCTTTCACTTCCAGTGTGCCGTGTTTGGGCTGCTCCAGCCCTGGGAGGCTGGAGGCGGGGCATAAGGAGTGGCAGAGGAAAAATGAAAGCTCAAACCTTGATCCTATCCAGTACTTACATTCTTAAAATTCATTTTAAATCTAGTTTTAATAGATCCCTTATGTAAAGTTTCCCCCATCCCAATAGCTAAATAATGTCTGATCTTGAAGAAATTCTATCCACTTTACATCTTTATGTCTTTATAAGTAGGTATACAGAAAGGATTGTCCCTATCCTTTCCCCTCCATCTGGGCACAGTGGCTCAATTTTACCCTGCAATTGGGCCATACGCCTTCCGGGCATTTTAGGACTGCAGTAGAAGAAAATGTGTTTTATTTCTGTAACCAGGACATTGCTTTAGGGACTACTAAATGTATCCTATACTGTCCTGTTTGTGGGGAGAAGCGGCAGATGATATCTTTACCAGGATTAACTTTTCTTTTTGGTTCCTGCATAAATACTTTTCTACCAAGCATGTCGGTGACTGGAATGCAGTTGTAAACATAGCCCTGGTGAGATCTAGCCATACCTTTCCCAAGAAAGGGTTTGGTTCCTGATATGATTGGCAAGTGACTCATGCCTTGTCCCCAGCTAACCACTGGTATTACCACACCCTCAAGCCTTTGCAGGAACTAGTGTTTGACAAGCAGGTATTGTGTGCTAATCTTTTCTCTACCTGTAACAGTCATCCTGTCTTTCTAGAGTACTGAATACAGTTGTAGATTATATGTGACAAAATTCTTGGCTCATAAGAGTAGTTTTCTTCTTCCCTCCCTCCCTGCTCTGAAAAATCAAATGTGAGCCTTGGTGTAGAGCTGATGTAGGTATTGGGAACTGTAAGGGAGGTATGTTATCCTAAGCAGCAACATGGGGTAAGCAGAAAAAAAGCAGTTATGCAGCTTTCTTTCGGCTGAAGTTTGGCCCTATCTAGTTCCTTTCATTTCTAATCTATTTCATCACACTTAGTCCAAACTAACTACCTGATTATTTTATTACCTAACTTTTTTCTGGTCAAAAAGATTTTACAGTATATCCACCTATCTTCCATGTGTTAAGTTCACATGTTTTTATAGAGTTGAATTATTTGGGATATTTCACTTGGAAAAATCATTAGCAATCTTCCCCGTAAAACATTGTCCACCTATGGACATGGATCTCCTTATCCATAATTGAGTCAGTTAAATCCCATGTGGAATATCTTTCCTTTAACTTCCTGGTGCATTCATACAAACCACCTGTCAGATGGATCTTAAGGAAAACATGCAGCATGAAGTGATGTGCTTCCCTTTAAGAATAAAATATAATCGCTGCTCATTCTATTAGATATTAATATTTTTATTTGGCATATTTATGGGCACAGTAATACACCTATAGGAATGTTCAAATTAAAATCTCAATGTACACCACCATGTGTAAGACATAATAGTGGAACTTGGAGATGCAGAGGTCTCTGTCATTCTGTTAATAAGATCTAACACCCAGCTGGAGAGAGAGAATAGGATGCACTAACCATCAGTTAGCAACAGAGATTTATGAGATAACAGATGTCAGCGACTTCTGTTTATTTGTCAAATCAGTTCATAGATAATCAGTCAAATCTCATTGCTCTGAATTGTGTGCTGTGGAAAAATAGGTGGTATTTCAGCTCAGATTGCCTAAAACAAGAAACGTAATGCTTGATTTTTAAAGACTTCAAATGGGAATGAGGCTCATCTAATGTGACCTCACTTGACTCTTTTTTAAAAAATGTTGTATTTTATTTATTGATTTGAGAGGGAGAGAAACATTGATGTGAGAAAAAAAAATCAATTTAGGTTGCCTCCTGCATGTGCCCCAACTGGGCATTGAGCCTGCAACCTGGCTATGTGCCCTGACCAGGAATTGAACCTGTGACCTTTCAGTGCAGAGGACCATGGTCAACCAACTGAGCTTCACGGCCAGGGCGACCTCACCTGACTCTTTTTATCAAGGTGTAAATCAAATTTGAAAATTAACATGTATCTGTGATACAGGGAAAACCTTTCACAGATAAATGTTTATAATGTTTTTAAGTAAATATGAGAAATTATATCTAGTTTTGAAAAAAGTAATTTCCAGTTGAAAAGTATATCAAGGAAAGGATAAAGTATGAAAGCCATAGATAATCACCAAGACTTAGTTTGTTAATTAGCCTTTTTTGAAAATGCTCAAGAAAAGGATTCTTTTTATTCCCTATTATTTTCTGATAGAATAGTTTACAAGCCAAAAATGTGTCAGTTCTGTTTAAATTAATACTGTAATTACCATTAGAACAAAATATTTATGTAGCAATGGTTTCTCAGCAGTTGTCAATAGTTTACATTGGTCAATATTTAATGGTCACTCTCTACCTAAGCAGAATTCCAGTAGCATTAAAAATTTGGAAAATTGTTTTAAGAGTCAATTGTTATAGAATTTGACTTGTAATTTGAGGAGGGTAAAAAGGACCTTAATTCTTAGGTTTGGGATGGCAGGATATAGTATTGGATAACACAGGGAAGAATTAAGCATCTTTGGCCAGTTACCACTTTTCTCTTTTTCCTTGTTTTAGCCTGAGCCTCCTACAACAAACAAATGGCAGCTAGACAACTGGCTGACCAAAGTCAGCCAGCCGGCAGCGCCACCAGAGGCCCTGGGGAGTGCAGCGCCCCCACTTCGGCACCCAGACGGGAAGGGAAAGGGTGGTGACGGCACCACTAGTCACGAGCATTCAGAATCCAAAGATCCTCCTCCCCCTAAAAGCTCCGGCAGAGCCCCCCGGATCCCTCCCGAAGGCTCCCACACTGGCAAGAGGAGCTGTCAGAAGTCCCCTGCCCAGCAGGAGCCGCCGCAGAGGCAAACGGTTGGAACCAAACAACCCAAAAAACCTGTCAAGGCCTCTGCCCCGGCGGACTCTCGGGCCAGTTTGCAGGTGGAGAGTGAGCCGGGACTTCCCCATAGCTCCAAGGATCAGCCTCCCAAGGACAAGCCCAAGGTGAAGACGAAAGGGAGGCCACGTGCTGGAGACAGAGAGCCTAAGCCAGCGGTGCCCACCCCCAGCGAGAAGAAGAAGCACAGGGGCGGGCCCCCGGCCCCCACAAAGGCACGCTCCGGTCCTGAGCCCACGAAGGACAATGTGGAGGACAGGAGCCCTGAGCACTTGGCCCTCGTCCCCCTGACTCACGGCCAGGGCCCCAAGCACGACAGCAGCAGTGGTGGCAGGACTAGTGGCTGTCGCCGGGCCGTGGTGGTGCAGGAGGACCCCGGGAAGGACAAACTTCAGGTGCCTTTGAGAGACACCAAGCTGCTCTCCCCGCTCAGGGACACTCCTCCCCTGCAAAGCTTGGTGGTGAAGATAACTCTCGACCTCCTCTCTTGGGTTCCCCAGCCACCTGGGAAGGGGAGTCGCCAGAAGAAACCAGAGGACAAGCAGCCACCGGCAGGGAAGAAGCTGGATTCTGAGAAGAGAAGCTCCGACAACTCAAGCAAGTTGGCCAAAAAGAGAAAGGTGAGTGCGGGGGGCCTGGCCTTCCCCTGCAGGGTGGCCAGTACCTGCTGTTCGCTTAGGGCTGTCTTTGGCCCATGACTCTAGCCCTGAGTTGTCTAGAAGATGCGGGAAGTGTTTGGTCAGATTAGATCCAGGCTTTGCTCCTAAGCCAGTTACTCCTCCATTGTAGACCTGGGTACTTCCCACTCTGCAGACGGGCATTACCGGGCACTAGAGCTCTTCAGCTGTCTCACTGGTTTGCAAAAAGAGGAGGCAGTCATTGGAAAGGATATCTCATTTTAGGATAATGTAGCATTTGGGGGTGCTTCTTTTACTTATTCGGGTAACATTGATATTTACCACTTGGCCCATTCGATTTTACCCTAGAAATTAAAACCTTATATGAATTGCAGTGTTAATTAGTATTCCAAATTCCTGAAAACACTGCTATACACTAAATTTTGCTCCTTTAGTATGACCTTTTTGATACTGGTATTACATCCACATTTTAGCTCATAGCCACATCATACCTCATTAATTTGAACACACCAGATTTAGACTCTGTGCCCTCCATTATTGACTTATTAATAAGCAGGGCATTCTTTTAAAAGGTTTTAGAGCTTATTAAGCAGTTAGGACATCCTGTTGAATAATATAGGCTGGAATGGTATCTTGTAAAGTATTAAAAATCTGTCAATTTCATTTTTTTATTACAGTTTTTGGAATTTTCACTTAAGGAATGACATAGTTTTTTTTAAAAAAGGAAAAAAAAAAGAATCTCTGCATTAAGAACCTCAGTTCCATGGACATAACACTATTTTGGACAGTTTCCTTCCTTGCGTTATTCTTAATCATTGAGCTCCTGATAGTTCTTTTTGCTGCTTCTCGGTGATGAAAGTGTGATAAGTGAGTGTTTCCCTCAGTGGCATTCCCATGCCAACCTGCCCAAGATTCAGAGGGAAGGGCACTAGGAAGGCCAGCTCTTCCTGCTGAGGAGTCAGACGGTGCACACTCTTTACGCAGAGCTGCTTCCTCAGTTGTGCAAGTTGAGCTAAGAATAACAAAGGACACGGCTATCATCAGCCCGCTGTCCTGTCTGTGATTCAGCCGATTACTCCACTAGTTAAAAATATAACATGACTCTAACAAGTAGTAGGGGTGCTGTCTTGTCAGACCCGTGTCGAATGATTGGAGTGGGCAGGTCGAGTGGGCTGGGTCACATGCTGATTGGCGGTGCTGTTTCAGCGAGGAGAGGGCATCTTCTCTCTCATGTCCAAGAACCACGGAAACGATGTGTGTTAAAGGTGTGAAACTTGATGGAGGACTTGGCTCGGAAAAGTACCCGTGTTTAATATATCTGAAAAGACTTCAAAAATACACTCGTTTACCTCCCCCTTCTGGGAAATTTTTTATCTCCTATCCCCCCAAGGTCTGTCTGGTTTGCAACGCTAACTTTCTGCATTAGCTGGAGTGAGAAGTATTAACTTCTAAAACGCTTACTAACAGGTGAACATGTTGGAAGTGGCAGGCTCCCTGAGACGGATTTCAGCCCAGTCTGTACTCCATGCAGATCTGGAACTGTTGCTCGCAGCCCCCGAAAGGGATCTCAGCTCGCCCTGCTGAGGATGTGAGCCGTGCCCTTCCACAGCCATGCGCAGCCCTTGGCTGAGCTCCGAGAAGGCAGCTCGTTTATCATGCTGTTGGGAGGATGGAGAAATAATGACCCTCATCTTAGTCAAGCGTGTGCTTCTTTAAAGCCGAGGCCAGCAGCAGAGAGCTCTGCCCGGGAACAGTGCCTCTGCTGTGGCAGTGACAGGACCAGGTCCTGAACCGGTGGTTCCAAACCCTGGCTGCTCATTGCGGTCACCTGGGGAGCCTGTAGGCCTGATGGCAGGTGCCCACCCTCAAACCCCTCACCCCCACTGGTATTTTTAAGTTCTCGGTTAATCCTAACGCCTAGGGGACCGGGAACCCCTGAAGCAGAGCCTTACTTCAGGGCCAACATTGTACAAAGCTAGTTCTTTCGGTGGAGAAATCCCTCCATGTGCTTTGCTTAGACGTCATGGATCTAGACAACCAGGAATCCTTGCTTTAAGTATGTCACTAGTTAAAAACATAGAAGCTTTTGGATAAATACATACAAAAATCAGCTCACTGTATACTTATTTCAGGATCAGAGAATCGTGTGTCATTTGGTTTTGCTTTCTGCTGGGTTCCAGGTATGATTAATGTTGAGCATTAACCTCAGGTCCTTCTCTGTGTGGGCCGGGCTCCCCCTGTCCTGTCAGGGCGTCGGCTGCTCCCGTGGCCTGGGCCCCGTGGCAGAGGCAGGGCTGTCCTCTCTAAGCGTGGGCGCTTTTTCCCAAATTTGGGAGGTGGAGACTTGTTCGTATTCTTCATTCTAAGTGCAATCACTAGAAAAAGCTCTCTGAGGATGTAGTGAGAGCAGTGGGGCAGTGTGCCTGATGGTTCACGTTTGTGGACGTTAGTGTCTTTATTTAAAGGCCCTTTAGGGTCTGTTCCTCTCCTGGTGCAAAATTTAGCAAATATTTTTCAGAGGGTAAGCAGACCCTTGAAGCCATTTTAGACTTAGAAGTATGGGAAGATAATCATAGAGTTCCTGGTGATTAACAGCTGTGATGAAGCCATCAGGTGTGGCACCTGTACACGTGTGCTCATGGTTCTGTATATGTGTAATGGTACTCCCTTAAAGGAGCGGATCAGAAACAATTCATGAGGAAAAGTGTGGGAAATTGTGAGGGTTAATAGGTGTGAACACACAGTGCTCTCTACATAAACTACAGAAGTTTATCATCCGAGTACAGTTTAGAATTTAAAATACAATGGTTTTTTTTGGCCTAAATAATTTTTAAACCAAGGTTATGTTATTCCAGGTTTGGAAGGAAAATTGAAGTTCAGAAGTACGATATAATACACAGGCCAGTGCCATTGACAGTGTCTAAAAATGCACAAGCGTGCATGGAGCTCCCTGTGTGAGCTAGACCTTGTTCAGGCATTTTATAGCTAATAGTTCATTTAATTGAGTTTTTTTTATAAATTGCCATTCAAAAAAAATTGCTAGACTGTCTTAATAGTCATTTCGATAAATAGAGCAGAGAGGTACATTTATTCAGGTCTTTTCCTTTTTCTAAATATTGCTTTACTGACCAAGAAGCTTTGACATTTTTGGAAACAAATTTCACTCTCTCATTTATCCGGGTTTTGAGTCCTGGGGAAGGGACGTTAAGAGATGTGGTGGGGAAATGTGCATTGTTTTTGCTTGAGGATGGTTGTTGGTTCAGTCAGTCCTTCCCTTCTAACCAAGCTCCGACTGTCTTTTCTTTGGTGGTTTCTCCAGATCAACATTCTCAATTATCTTTCAAAATTAAGGGTTTGAAAAGTCATTTCTTACAATTTTCTGAAGCTACTCCAATCTAATTTCTTCATGCTTGTTAGTTACTCTGAAAAGAACATTGTAACCATATACATGTTAAGACTGTTAAGCCATTCTAATGCCTGTGCATTCCCTCACCAAGAAGAAGAAAGAAAGTGGATTGATTTTCCTTTTCTGTAGTACTTATCCCGAGATTACAAAGCCTGTCTCCTCAGTAAGCTCCCCTCTCTCGGTGCTGACTTAGTTAGACGTGGCATTTGCTTGTCATCTTTGTGTTGAACCTCCTGCAGAGACACATCCAGAGAGGGACTTAAATTTCCCAGCAGGCTGCTTCTCCACTTCCTTTGCCCCGAGTGCTACCAAGGTCCTTTGCTTCCCTGTGGGAGAAAAAGACAGTCCTAGAATTTGAGTGCTGAGACCTTACAGGTCACTTGTCCAGCTGCACCTTGTATGGATGGGATCCAGAGAGGCTCTGACATCACGTGGCTGTTCAGTCAAAGTAGACATGGAGCTCAGGTATGCGGGCTCCAGCCCAGGGATTTCTCTTCTCTTTCAGTGTCCAGTGGGGAGGCTCTAGGAGAGAGTCACAAGGTCATAGTTCAAGAACAGTGTACTGACTCTGGTGGTTATAATATCATCCTGGCTCTATCCCTCTACTGCTCACACCTTGCTGTCCCAGTACTCCTCCCACCCCACCCCACACTCCTTCTCTACTTCAGTTTCTCTTTCAGATGCCCCTCATCTCTCCCCACCACAGCCAAGCTCTCAGTACACTCTCCTAACACCTGTTAGAAACACTGTGGCCTGAATTGACGTCAGTTCTGAAAAGGCCACCCTCCTTTCCCTGCTACGTGCAGGAACTTCGCTGGTGAGCCCGGTGTTGGGCAAGCAGCAGGCCGCCCTGCAGCATTCTCTTCCAGAAACCACCTTGGTCTCACATTCCCAGCTCTTCCTTTTATGGGCTTCTTTCTTGCCCTTTGCTCTATGCTGGGTGGAGCAGCATTTGGCAGCTAATCCATGGCTGCCTGACCCAACAGGTTAAGAAAAGCAAGCAAGTCAGTTCGGACCAGGTCGGCAGCCAGCAGCCTCCTTTTGTTGTAGGTACAGCACCACCGAGACACTTATCCTTCTGGGGAGGGGGCCTTCCAACCCCAACCTCAGGCAGGATCCCTGAAATGGAGGCTGATCTGGGCTCAGCCACAGGGCAGAGGAAACTTCTTTTTCCTTCACAAGAGAGTTCTTCTCCCTCATCTCATTTTCCAATGGCTCCTTGATCTAGAAAAATCCCAACGATTCCTTGCCTTCGGTTTTCCACTCTTGAAATTTAAGTTTGCATTTCCTGCCGCCCAGTAGTTCAAGGCTCCCTTCCTACCTCTGTCCACTTCAAGTTGCAGTGCCGTCCTGCTCCTGGGACCTCAGCTGCGAAACCTAGCTGCCATGCCAGAGAACAGATCCTCGCTGAGTGCCTGCTCCGGGGAAGCCACTGGGACTGTTCCAGGCAGAAGAAGACAGGTTCCAAGTGCACAGTGGACAGAAATACTAACCTCAGGCCCACAGGCTCGACTACAGCAAGCAAGCGAAGCGAGCAGTAGGAGTTTGATTTGGTTTACTGGCTTACTCTCTACCAGCTTACAGAATATTATCAGCTGCTAAGTTGCTTTATGCCAATGTAAAGCACATTGTTCCAATAAGTGCCAGCACGGTTGTTAATGCTAGCCTTGCTACTGAGCTTGACCTTAGGTCAAAAGGCCGAGAAGCTTAATGCTGGCCTCGAAATCAGTATTGCTGATTGCTTGTTTGGGGCTGTTCTCTTGAATCTCTGATTGGTACACGCCAGGGTTGTAACAACCCGTTTGTGAGGATTGACTCACTAGGAATCTGATTTCATGTGGTTTACAGCGGTCGCCAACTGGTGGTCCACGAGGTCCAAAAGGTTGGCAACCGTTGGCTTAGAAGGTCTGTCACTTTGGTTTATAGTTATAACTAGCAAGTCCTAAGCAGCAGGAAAACATATAAACAAAAATTAACACTCATTCCATGTCTGGGGTCTGATGTTTTCGTTAGGATGCAACTGTGTGGACGTTTGCCTTGGAAACTTACCCTGTGTGTCATTAACTGCCTAGAAGAACCTTCCATTGCAAAAAGTATATATTACTACCTCATACAATATCTGGACATTTTAGCAAAATCTGTGATTTTTCCCAGAGATAAGTTTTCCATCTTCTTGCACTGCTTGCAAGGCCAGCTTTGCAGCCTTTAATCTAAAACTTGAGAGAACCCGCTAGGTCTGTGAGTGGCAGAGCCCCTGGGGCGCGCAGTAGGTTAAGTAATGACAAGGGTGCCACAGTAGCAGGGTCCTCTCTTGACCCAGTCATTTCCAACTTATTCTTTTTTTCTCTGCCAACCTTGGCTGCCTCTCAGGTGTTAGCATTGCGAACTGTTGCGTGGAGACCTGCGTGCTGTGCAAAGCTGAGCTCTGTGGGCCAGGCTGAAGGCCCCTGGGACACAGCTGGGCGAAATTTCCTGTCTTGTTCCAGTTGTGCCTTTAGGACGTGCTTCTGTATGTCACATCTTAACTCCTTATACTTCTTTAATGAATGGTTATATTTCTGAGGAACTGATTTGTTATCTCAACTGTACATTTTATAATTCCTCTGTTGCATTGGCTGCTTGGAGTTCAGAGCCCCATGTGCAGATTACCTCTAGAGAAGTGTACAGAACAGCACAGCCCACTAGAAGTAAACTAAAATTTTCTAGCATCCACATGAAAGAAAACCAGTTAAATTGTTTTAATAATTTATCAAATATATCCAAAATATCACCACTGTAACATTGAATGAAAATTGTTACATTTCTCCTTTTACACTAAGTCTTCGAAGTCACTGTGGCTTCAGACTGGCCGTGTCAGGCGCTCCTGGGTGCCAGGCTGTCGGGTGGGAGTGTGCCAGGCCGGTCAGTGCAGAACTGATGGCCTCTGGGGCACAAGCCTTCCCTTGGACTGAAGTTCTCCCTGCCCAGGCTTCCCCGTCTTCTTAATGTTCTCACTTGTGCGCACACCAAGAGATGAAAAACAAGTGTCTTTAGAAGCAATGTGGAATGATCCATTTTGAGACAAGAAGTACATGTTTTTCCCCCGAGAGGCTGAGGAGAGGAATGGAAGGGCTCTCGCTACATCTGTCTGCATGCAGCCGCCAGGAGGAGGGCGTGTTTTTGCTACTTCCCCTTCTTTGGAGCAGGGTCAGGCTGCTCCTAGTGTCTGGGCAGAGCTTGGGCCTACGCATCTTAATTTATTCATTTTTCTTGGAGGAAGTCAGCAAACAGGAGAGAGACAGTGGTGAAAACGGGGGCTTCCTGCAGTCAGTGAATTTGAAGAATGTTTTTTTCCTTTAAGGCTTTAAGGGAGGATTTCAGGTTTTTAAGGGATTGTCCTAGATTGACTGGTGGTGTCCCAGATTCCTGTCTCGGTGAACTGACAGTTGGAGGAGTTTATTTCTAAATGCTCTTCACAATTATCTAAAGGGCTCGCACCAATCCTTTCACTGTCACTTGCTCTAGAGGTAGTAGCTCCTTCCCAGGGGGCATTGCCTGAGTCCAGACCGTGGGCAGGAGGCCACCGTGAAGCCATTGGATTGACATGTAGACTTTTTTTAAAGTTGGTGTGCATGTTGACAGGTGAGCACAAGCACATAGAAGACTTTTGCCATAAAGAATTCTTTGTTCTCTTAATGTTTGGTTATCTCACACTTTAGTTGGTACAGAGGGATGTTTTGAGGTGCTTAACTTGGTGGAATTATATATCCCTTCTCATCACTCTTCCCTCACTAAAATTATATTTACAATTCTTCATTTTCTATCAAAGTTCTGAAAAACATATGACTCTATATATGTAGAGAAACATATAAAGACAATATTTTTAAAAACACACACACACACCAAAAAAACAAAAAACTGGTATCTACCTGACTAGGCAGCTCAGTTGGTTGGAATGTTGTCCCGTATACCAAAGGTGGCGGGTCCGATTTCCTGTCAGGGCACATACCTAGGTATGGGGTGCATATGGAGGCAACCTGTCAATGCTTTCTCTTTTTCTCTTTCTCCCTCTTTCTCCTTCCCCCACTCTCTCCCTCTTCCCTCCCTCCCTCTGTCTCTTTAAAGATCAATAAAAACATATCCTCCAATGAGGATTTAAAATCAATAATAATAAAAGAACTGGTATCAATGGAAGAGAAAGTTAGCTGAATCCCAAAGCAACTATTCTTATTTGTTGTGCCTTCCTGGTTTTGTCTATAAGCTATCTAGACAGGATTTTTGTAGCCTGTTTCATTTTCAACAATATGCTTGTTTTTTTCATTAGAAGAAAAGCTAAGCTTTAGTATTCCACTCCTAATTTTATTATGACCAATAAATTAGTGTAGATAAGTGGAGGGTTCTTTTGAAAGAAGGGGAAGAACCATACTCATAAAATTATCTGTTGTTACTTGATGTGAATCAGCATGTTTTATTGATTCTTTTATATTTAGGAAAGTTGCAATGATGTGTCTACTACAATGAAGTCTACTACTATTCTTATTAGCTACTAGAGGCCTGGTGCATGAAATTTGTGCACTGGGGGGGTGGCAGGGGATGTCCTTCAGCCCACCTGCACCCTCTCACAGTCCAGGAGCCCTTGGGGGATGTCCAACTGATGGCTTAGGCCCACTCCCCGGGCCTTAGCGCTGCCACAGAGGCGGGAGAGGCTCCCGCCACTGCTGCTGTGCTTGCCAGCTGTGAGCCCAGCTTCTGGCTGAGCGGCGCTCCCCCTGTGGGAGTGCACTGACCACCAGGGGGCAGCTTCTGCATTGAGTGTCTGCCTCCTGGTGGTCAGTGCGTGTCATAGCAACCAGTCGTTCTGCTGTTTGGTCGATTTGCATATTAGCCTCTTATTATATAGGATTACTTAGACACCCTCCCCTTCCTGCATATGAAGAATAGTTCTTCCTTGTGCAAAGCCTGGTCTCTCCACAGGTTACTAATATCAAATCTAGATTGCCTACCTCCCTCATCCAAAACACACACACACAGTATAGGTACTGGGAAGGTTGCTGTGTGTGTCTAGACAGATGTCTCCAACAGTCTAATTATTCTCATTGCCTGTGCTGTATATTTTTTCCTATTTTGCCTGTACAGTTATGTTTGTAACAATTTACTTTGTTATATTACAATCATAGGGTGAAGCAGAGAGAGACCATGATAGCAAGAAAGTCAGACTGGAGAAAGAGGTTAAATCACAGTCATCGTCATCCTCCCACAAAGAAGCTTCTAAGACGAAGTGAGTATAGAGATTAGGAGCAGCCTAGGAAGGCAAGTGAGTCTTCTTGGGTCTGATGTGTGAAGGCATGGAGTGCTACACTCGTTCAGCTCCTTCTGATGATGTGCCCAGTTTGTTTCAATCTGCTTTTGTCACGTGGACCTTCTAGGAATTAACAGTTCATTGGGCAGCAAGCGTGGGTTTATCCAGTGTATTTCAACAGTAGAAAATTTCCTAAAAACCTGGAATTAATTTCTTTCTAAAGGAATTTTTACATTGAAAATAAGAAAGGTGCTGTTATTATCCCTATTTTGTAGAAGTGGAAACTGAGGCACACAGAGAGAAAATGACTTGTCCAAAGTCACAAAAAGTAACTATTAATCTCTGATTTGTTCAAGAAATCGCTTCACAAAATGATGTGGTACCACAATGCATCGTGTCCCCATGTAGGAGGGATTTGCGAGAGCAAGGAGTCAGATGTGAAAGCGGAGGCTGGGCTTGCCTGCTTGTCAGAGAGAGGGACAGGTTGGGGAGTAGCTAATGCAGACCGGCTTGTTAGGAGAAGTCAGGACCGCAAGCTTAGAGACGGGTCACATAACTTCATTTCTCAGTCAGCAATAGGACTGGATTTTTAAAAGGCATGAAAAGTCCCTGAAATGTGGCCTTGTACAAAAATGGATTTCACGCTTTGTGATATCTTAGTCTTTTGTCAGCAGCCTTGTGTCCTTTTAACTAAACAACTAAGTTACATGGTTCATGTTCTGCCTTAACTTTGTGTTGTATGATGTTTCTTTCCAGAACACCCAGGCCCTCTGAGCCCTCAAAGAAGGAAATGCTTCCCCCCACACTTGTGTCATCATCGTCCTCATCCTCCCAGAAGCCAGCCAAGCCCACACAAAAGAGGCCACGGCGAGAAGCACATCCCTGTAGCCAGGACCCTCCCAAAAGTGCCAGTAGTACCAAGGGCAACCATAAGGACTCCCCCGCCCCCAAGCGCAGAAAAGCCGAGGGGAAGGGCTCTGGAAGCTCCACAGAACAAAAGGTAAGTGGGGGAGCCGCTGTTGTATACAGTAGATATTGGGTAAGTTCCCAAATTGAGTAAGTTCCTAATGATGGTACTTCAGAGCTATTCATCACTTTTAATAAGGCTGTAATGAGTTTGTGTTTAAAGTTCTACTCTTTAGAGGGAGAGTAAAAGGTAATTAATAGTATATGAACATTTAGGTGTCAGTTTATTCTTAAAGTGATTCAGAAGTGAAATACCCGAATAGATGTTTTGTGTTAATTTTCTGTCAGGTGTTTCGTAGTAATAAATGGTTACCCTGGTTTGAATATTTGATCTCAGGTACTTTCATTTATTGTAATGGGGGAGAATTATCCACTTTCCTCAAGTACAAGTTCCTCTTTCTGTTAACCTGGGTGTATGTGGTGTGTATGCATATTAACTAAAAGAAAATGTTACATTTGGCTTTGTTGGTTATCTGTTCTCATGGACAGTTTTGTCGTATATCTTTTTGAGTCCCAATACAGTCAAAACGTTAATCTAGCTGGGAAAGTGCCAAACTTTTTGGGGGAACTATTTTGGGCTAATTTAAGGGATGGTATATTTAGGTCAGTGATCTTAAATGTTAGAGTGTGATCTGTAAAATGATTTTTTAAAGGGATCTTCTGGAGATACTGCAAATTCTTTTCCAGTGCCTTCTTTGCCAAATGGTAACTCGAAACCAGGGAAGCCTCCCTCGAAGTTGGACAAGTAAGATTCTAGATGCTTGCTTCTTATCCTTTGTGTGCCCACTTCTCCTTTACCTCCTCATTTCCTTTCCCCTTCTTTGCTCCTCCCTCTCCTTTGCCCTTCTCCTCCCATCCTTTTTCACCATCTCAGTCTCCTTCAATCATCTTGCTCCAGCCTAGTAATTTTAAGTTCATATGACCTACCCTGATCTTTCCTTCTCTTTCAGACAAGCAGATCTCCACATGAAGGAGGCAAAAAAGTTGAAGCAAAAAGCAGAGTTAATGGTCAGTCTTGGTTCTTTATCCATTTGGTAGAATGTCTTCTGATGGAATATTTGTGATCTCAGTCTACTGTATAACATATCACTAAATACAGCAGGAGGGTGGGAGAGGGGTGCTGACATTGGCCGAAGCGGAAGCAGGATCAGCAGGATCTTAGTGAGGGATAAGGGATTCTTAGTGAAGTTATTTTCTTTGATTCCATTATTTGATCAAGGGCAAATATACAAAGTACCTAGTCGCAAGTCTGATGTCTAAATGAATGGTCACTACCATGTATTTAATACTCAAATGCTTCCTTGTCCCACTCTTTGGATATGAAAAATGAGTCCTACTATTGGAAGTTGGTCTATTTTGAAAGGTGAGGTAGCCTATTTGCATTCCAAAATGATCTTCAAGCTCTTGAGAGAGACTGCCCTGAGGGGCCAGTAGACCAGTGCCAGTAGATGAAGTTTTAAGGTGAAGGCAGTGATTGCACTTTGGTAAACATGCTTTAAAAAGTGAGCTCTGCCTGGTGGCTGTTGGACTTTCTGGAAGGTGGAGGTTTGTTTTTAATCGCATACACAATTAAATGTGCTTTTGCATCTCTGCTGCAGTCTAATTAGGTGGTGTGTGCCCTTTGTCATATTTAAACGGAATGTATTCCCCAAGCCTAAGCCCAACACATACCCTATGTTGAACTTCGTGCCACCAGCCTTTATTCTCCTACATGCAAATCTAACCACACACTCTGGAGGCCCACAGGGAACTGAATCAGGTCCGTCCAGGGTGGCCATCAAGGCTGTGGCCTGGTGCCTGCAACCCCAGTCTGTGGACTGGCCTCTGTTCTCAGACAGGCTGGGAGGGCTGGGCTGGTCCCCGTTTGTTGGGACAAAATATTGGAGTCGTCCTTACCCTGCTGGGTGCTACAGGGGAGTCAAAGACAAGCCCCTGTGGCCCTGTCTCTAAGGTGGCCCTGTATAGGATGGCCTGAGTTTGAGTCAGAGGACCAGGGCTGGGCCAAGCAGGGGTGTCTTTTCCGTCTTCTTCCTTTCAGCATTCCAAGGTTGTTCCTGGGACTATATGAATCTTTTGAGTTTTGAAAAGGAGTAACTAGTCAGTACTTTGTCAGTCACCTAAAACTTGTCTAAACATCGGGCATTTTAAGCACTAGATTCCTCATTATTCAAATCAGGAAGTATTCTCCAGGGAACTTTGATTTTGTTTTGTGTTTAGTCTGTACATACGTACATCTTCTCCCACCGAAGTTGGCCATACATCCCCGTGTGCCCAGGACAGTCCTGATCTATGCCTGTTGAATCCCATTGTAATAATAATGTCTCATTTTAGTCTCAAAATAGGCCAGTTTGGACAAAAAGCTGAATGCACAGTCTTTTTGTAATATTTAATATTCTTCTTTAATTGCACAGTGTCTCAAGATGTGCATTTAGCATTCCAAATAGTCAAGTGCACAACTGAATATAAAGGAGTGCATTTTACTTCTACATTATACTCACTGCTGAATAGAGATATTGGAACGCTACCACTTTAACACTGTATCAGGACACATGCGTTTATCACAGGTGTAATAGATGTGCATCACTAGCCTTACAAAATATCAGGCCTAAACCATCTTTCTTTGCTGATGTCACTATCATTTTATACTCCACTTGCATCTTTACTGCTTGCATTCTTTCTTTTTGAACATTATCAAATTGAAAGCATTAGCAAAAACTGCAAACTTGCAAATGTGTTAGTCAGTTGCCTGAGAGAGGTGGTCCATAGGCCGTGTGTTGAGAGAAGTGCTCATCCCGTCTTAGTTGGTTTGGCTGTGTTGCACTCAGTGAGAAGTGTTGTGACAAAATGTGTAGTCACCAATATCTGATTTCATTTATATTCCCTTTAAGAGACTCTCAGATCAACAATAAAAAATTTTTAGATAAAAAAATAAAGTCAATTTTGTCCGATTTTTTAAAAAGGAGTGAGAGAGGGAGACGCTGGGGTTTTATCCCTGCTGGCCCAGAGGACAGCCTCATGCACTTCGCCCCGACTTCCAAAGGCGAGTCAGCCACCTGTTGGGCTCTAAGATACATGGAACGATGATTGTTTGACATCATATCTAAGATGCTCCTAAAACAACGTTTTTTACTTATTGTTAGGTGGTAAACTTCAACACATACAAAGAAATTTGTGTTTGCATTATCCTAGATGTGTAGAAAAATTTCTTTCTCAGAAAAATTATGTAATGAGAAATTAGGGACACTATTAATAACAAAGGGACTATGAATTCAATTGCCTTAGTTTGAATATGTGCTTTAAAGTTATGAGAGCGTCATCCTAACACAAAATGGTTTTCTTTTTCCTACTAAAAGAACATTTTTAGTAGGTCAGACCCCATAGGCTTTTAGTCCTGTTGAGTTGGTTTGCTCTCACACTTCTCTGTAGCCATAACTAAACTCTGACAGTGGAGGGATATTACAGTGAAGAATGTGAGAAACTAAATAAAAGGCTGTCTTTGGCCTAACAATGACCTGTTCTTCCACAGACAGACAAGGTTGGGAAGGCTTTTAAGTACTTGGAAGCCGTCTTGTCCTTCATTGAGTGTGGGATTGCCATGGAGTCTGAAAGCCCGGTGTCCAAGTCGGCGTCCAAGTCGGCTTTCGCAGTGTACTCTGAAACCGAAGACCTCGTTAAGTAAGCGCCAAGTCATGTTGCCATCCTCTTAAGTACTTCTCTTTCCTCACCTTTATTGCCATAATCCACTTGAACCTCAGTATAAAGACAGCTTAATAAAGGGGCACCTTACAAAAGTTACTGATGCGAGAACGTTTTTCTTGTCCTGAACTAAAATTATATTCTAGATGAATGCTGGAACAGAGAAGCCGGATCCAGCTCCATTGTGTGCCAAGTGCACTGTGAAATGCCAAACCTTTCAGGCAGAGGTTGGTTTTTCCAGTTTGGCTTTCTTATCAGACGCCCTCGTCTCAGTTTAAGCTCCTGTCTTTATTATCTGCATTTCAACAAGGGACTCAGTCAGGACACACGTCTACATGGAGTCAAGCAGGTGGACAGCCGGAGAAGAGACGTGTCCTCACCCAGTTTTCTGAGTGACCTCAATTGTTGCTCTAAAGCCTCATTTTTTTTCTGGTTTGCTCTCGGCTTGACAGCTTCAGGAAAAATCAGTATAAAACCGAGAGACATAATGAGATGTCTTTGTGTCAGGGATTTTCCAATTGCTTTTGTTTAACCTGATCTATTTTTATACTTCCCTATAGAGTCATCATGTCGTTAAAATCCTTCTCAGACCCCGCAGCACCAACACAAGAGAAAATATTTGCTGTTTTATGGTGAGTACTTTTTCTGTATTTACATAGTATCACACTTGCTTTTGTTTTTGTTTTTTTTTTTTTTTTGCTTTTGTATCTTTTGATGGTACAAAAAAAGATTTTGAAATTTTTGCTTAGCAGGAAAATTACAGTGAAAGGAGATCAATAAAATACTAAGGTCAAGGGGTTAACCCCACTGATAAGTTTTATGAAATGGCACCTGCTGCTGTTTTACTGATGACTCAATAATGCTTTGATCTGGTGGCTCAGATGATATCCTTGTATATTTGTGTGTTTCTGATGACTGAAGAGTGCAGTAAGATTTTTACGATGCCCTTCCTCAGGTAGATGAAGCCCAGCGTCTTCGTTAGGTTGTAAAGGGTTCGATGGCTGTCTTTCTGACATCCACCTGTTTATGTTCACAGCATGCGTTGTCAGTCCATTTTGAACATGGCGATGTTTCGTTGTAAAAAGGAGAGAGCAATAAAGTATTCTCGTGCTCTTAATGATCACTTCCAGAGTCCTTCCAAAGTTACCCAGGCACCTTCTCCATGCATTGCAAGGTAATGATACGTCTAACTTACAATTCTCAGTATTGCGTCATTATTTGCCGCTTGCTTTTGCTACCATTTGTGTGTACATCTAACTTTGCCTTTTCAAAAATTGTATACATCTATATGCTGGTTTTCTCCTTAACTAGATCATTTGCTTATTTCTGCTTTTTAAGGAATAATTTAAATCAAGATGTTTGCTGATTGGGTAACATAAAAAGATAATTGTAGCCCTGGCCGGTTTGGCTCAGTGGATAGAGCGTCGGCCTTGGGACTAAAGGGTCCCAGGTTTGATTCCGGTCAAGGGCATGTACCTTGGTTGCGGGCACATCCCCAGTAGGGGGTGTGCAGGAGGCAGCTGATCGATGTTTCTCTCTCATTGATGTTTCTGGCTCTCTATCCCTCTCCCGTCCTCTCTGTGAAAAATCAATAAAATATGTTTTTTAAAAAAAAGATAATTGTAGAAACTATATGGTCAAAATGTCAAAACGGTGAGGATCTTTAGGCATGTCTAACACTACAAAATTGGGGTTATATTTAGGCGTGCCTAACACCACAAAACAACTAGAGGCAAGGCCAGGAGAACCAGCCAAAGTCCCTTGTCCCCCTGGACATGTCACCTTGGAATTTCAGTGAACAAGAACTTATATATGCCCTCAACCTTCTCCAGGACCCGTAGCAGTGATATAAGACGAACATGATTGTCTCTAGTTAAAATTTCCCCCCACTTTTGGAACTGAAGCTGTTCATCTGTGCCATAAGATATTGAAAAACAATCCTTGTGCAACTGAAGACAGAATGTTCTTCCCTATAGCACTTGCCTAGTATTTTTAATGTGGTTATACTCCTTGAAGTTTCCCAGTTCTGATAGGCTTTGCTATTTTAAGACTGTCACCTAGAAGACTGCCCCATTTCCTGCACGTTTAGGAAGAGATTCCCATGTAGCCTTTCCTTAAAACGTCCTGATTGAGAAGGAACTTCCTGCCTCTGGAATTTTCATGACTCCCATCTCAGGTGGTATTCTAAGCTCATACATGGTCGGTGTCATTATTTGAGGTAACTCCTTTCCCATTTGTCCAGCCAATGAGCACCTTCTTTGTACCAAACCTTGCTTTAGGTACAGGGGACACAGCAGTAAACAGAGCAGGTGAAACTCACTGCCCTCATGGTGCTTCCACTCCCGTCTTATGAATGTCCATTCAGCTGATGCACTGAGGGCTTGCAGGGGGCAGGTGGGGCACAGCATGAGGTTACTGCTGCTGCCATCTTCCCATTTTATATCTGTGACGTCGAAGTGATGTCACTTGTGTTTCTCATTGACCCACTCAAGGCACTTGTTAACTTGGATGTGCAGGTATACAGTCGAGAGGGGAGAGTAGAGAGAAGATCATGAATCCCCTGGTACATGATACTCCCTGGTCTCCTCGTAGGCTGTACTACAGTCATTCATTGATTCAGCAGATATTTCTCAAGGGCCTGCTCTTAGCACCTACTTTGCTAAGTGCCACAAATGCAAAGATTAGTAAAAAATGGTCCCGGCCTTCAAGGTGCCTGTGACCCAGGAGAAGGAATAAACAGAAAAGTGTGGAATGTGAGAAGTGCAATAGATAAGTTAATAAATACATGCAGAGAATCAAGTTCAGAGGCAGACAGCAAGCCGTGGTGTACCCCAGCATCTAGAAGAGCGCCAGGTGCAGAGCAGGTGCTCCGCGCATGGTCACTGAGCCGGGGAAAGAATGTGTAAGAGATAAAGACCAGTTCACAGGGCAGCATTGTCTTCCCTGGAGAAGTTGGGTGGGGTTGGTGGGGAGGGAAGGACTCAATGCCTAGGGAGTAGGCGATGTGAACGGCATGGGAAGCAGGTTCAGAATACAGACCTGCCCACCTCATTTCGAGTCTAGTGAGGACACCTCGCCTCCATCCGTTTGGTGGGTCCCATCTCACTGTGTTTTATAAATTCCCAAACTCCTAAAGGTGAAGGGTGTCTCTTTGACCTTAAAGAAATGACTGTCATTTTGGCTGGTACACACTGAAACTTTGTGACTCGGCCTACGGTTCCAGAGACAGGAAATCTGTAATGTGGGGTTTAGTGATTAACCAGTTCTCTCTGATCTTCCGCCTTCCAGAAGCACAGGCGCACCATCCCCTCTCTCTCCAATGCCTTCTGCCAGCTCCGTGGGCTCCCAGGCGAGTGCTGGCAGTGTGGGGGGCAGCGGGATCCCTGCCAACATCCAAAACATGACATCTTCCTACATCACCATTACTTCCCACATCTTCGCCGCCGTTGATCTTTGGGAACAGGCCGAGGTCCTTACAAGGAAGAATAAAGGTGAGTGGCTCTGTGGTGGTAATTACTGGGGCATGATGGGAATCATGTGGTTTGTAGGTTATGTTCCATTTTTCATTCTCTCCATCCCACCTCATAGCCCAATTCTTTTCTGAGCCCCACAGCATGGAGCTAAATTTCTGTGGCTAGATCTTAGCAAAACTGAACTGGAAGTGGCTTCAGCACCTTGCCCTTCAGAAGTCCTGGCGCCGTCATTTCAGTCTGGATGAAATGGTAGCACAAGGGCCAGGCAAGTGGAGAAGGAAGGGCATGGCTGTCCCTGGGCACAGCCAGTGTGAGGTGTGAGGGAGCACAGCCTAAGTACGGAGTTTAACGTTTGTTTTCAGTGTGATGAAAGATGGTTAGCGACAGTACGGGCAATATGGTGTCAGTAAGCCTCTTGAAACTTGTGTGAGACGAAGGCCTTGGGAAAACCCGAGGTGTAGGAGACGGTGGGACACGCTGTAGAGGAACTGTGCGTGCCAGTGCCAGCATCCACTGACGCTTAGATGGAAATGCCAGGTCCGTGCCATTCCATAGTTCTTCCTGGCGGTGGCCACTTAATTCCCTCACAGCCTCTTAGAACTTAATTGCTTAGTAAACTAAAGATGCTTTTTAAACATGTTGGTGTTTTTCTTTCATGCATCTGTTGACCCAAAAGTATTAATCGGGTGTTCTCCAGTGCTGGGCATTATGGATTCAACCGTAAAACAGAACCCAGTGCCTACCCTTCTAGGCTAGTGGATCAGTGTGGAGAATGAGCAGCATTACACTCGATTGTGGTGTTGTACTGTGATAGATGAAGTGCATGCTAATTTGGGGATCATTTCTGGAACCAACCCAAGCAAATGACTTTCTGTTGCCGTCTTTATTTCGTGTGTGTGCGTGTGTTTACTTGGTTGTGGTTTTGCTTCGTTTGCAGAGTTTTTTGCTCAGCTCAGCACAAGCGTGTGCACCTTGGCCCTCAACAGCAGTTTGGCGGATCTGGTGCACTACACGAGACAGGGGTTTCAGTGGCTGAAGCAAGGAAGCAGAGCGCCCTAACGGAGGCCCAGGTTCATTTGATGCCTTGGGAACTATTTTGCACATTGGAGCCTCAGAACCAGTCCAGACATTTGTCTCATCAGGACAACAAAACTTGAGAAGAGAAGCACCTGAGAAGGCCAGGTCATTTGTCCACTTAAACTCTCAAGAATTGTGTGGTCATTGGTTGGGCACGATGGTTATGCAGAAGTAGAAATGAGGAGGCTGGCTTCAGAGATGATCTTCGCCTTTCCTAACTAAAGGACAGAGTGCAATGTGGCCTGACAGGGGTGTGTGAGTGGTCTAGAAACATTTCCGTATTTTTTTAACCAGCAGAATGCGAGTTGCAAATGAAACGAAGAGAATCAGTTTCAACTCTGAACGCAAATTCACGTCATCTCAGCAGCCTCACCACACTAGTCCATTCCCAGAAGGAAATATTTTTAACAGTGAATTTTGGTGTAGGGTTTTATGGATGATTTTTCTTTCTTTTCAGTTTTTTTTGAGGAAATATTTGTTTTGTAAATTCTAACAGTCATCTATAAAACCTAAATTGTGAAGGACTCCGCTATACCCCACTTTGTGCCAGTGCACAGTTGCTTTGATAATACCAAGTATTGTCATAATGTAAAGAATTGGAGGCACCCCCATTGCCTGAAGTACTGCACGCTCACCCAGCTCTGATTCCTTTGTGGCCGAGTTGGTGTTGACCGATGGGAGCCGTGGGAGGAGAAGGAGCTACAATACGCGGCAGCAGGCGGCACGGCTGTCGTTCCCACCCCTGCTTCAGCCACAGGCAGGCAGCTGCGACCGTGTTCGGAATTTTCTACTCTGGGAAAGAGGGTACTGCCATTTCCACAGGACCAGTTGGCTGAAGGGCTTTTGAATTTTTGTTTAAGTAGAGCTGGAATTTGAGGTGCTGGTCTGTGGTCTACAGTCATGTGGTAACTCATGCTGTCTAACCAACTCAGAGTTTTGTCAGTGAACAAAGACAAATGAAATCTACTTAAAGAGGCTATATTTTTCTGCTGCGAATTATTTTATATTTATAGCAAAACTAGACTTTCAGAGCCCTTAATTGTCCAGGGGAAATGTACTCCCTGAAAGGATGTGGAGATTGGGGTGGCTAATTAGACTTCACTCGGTGTTCTCGGTGAGCTAGACTTGACAGGCTGAGGAGGAACGGTGGCCTCCCCACAAGTTGCTGTTGCCGTCTTAGAGGCCTGACACCAGTGCATTTGAATGACCGATAATGAAAGAACACATCCGAGTTCCCACTTACCCATAAGCACAGATTTTCTTTATTGTAGACACTTTGAAGGTTATTATTGGAAGCATTATTTTGACTGCAGTGTTTTTAAAAGCCCATTCTTTTTATCCCTTTTAGAGGTGGAATTTACACACATTAAAATTGAGGAGTGCTTTTTCTACAATTGGCTTTTCTCCTATCCTGCCTCTCTACATGTTGTTTCCTACCCAGCATGTTTGACATTTTCCTAATTATTTATTAGTGAAGAAGGGAGTGGATACACCTTTATTTATAATGAAGTGTAAGGTCCGCATGATGTCTGTAAGAACTTGCTTGGTAATTTGGCAAATGTATAAAGGGGGGTGTAGACGATGGGAAATGCTTGTCTTTCAGGGTGAAGCGTGTGACTGTTCCTTCACTGTCTACCCAGCCCGTTCTTTTGTCATCACTAACCTGCTAGGGCAGAGGTCTCCTACCTCGTGTTTAGGTTAAAGCCCGAGGATTAGCAGCAGTGGTAATGTCTGAGCATGGAAACTTCATGTGTGGTCTTGATGTTCTAAAGTAAAGCCTTGGCCCTTTTTAAATTGCTCGTTTAAAAAGCACCCTGTTGTTAAATGAACAGTAATTGCCTGGTAGGTTGTATGCTGTGACATTGTGTGTCCTCTTCTATGTAGGAGACAAGATCCCAGAATCAGGCGCATGTAATTATTTAACATCATCTTTTCTTCCCTTCCCTGCACCACTCCCCAATGTAAGGCTGGTCGGTTTGGAAGGACGTGTTCTCGGGGCAAGTTCTGGTCTGTGCAACCTGTGCAGGGTAAGTGTGTCCCATCAGCAAGCCACCAGCTCCCTTGCCTGGGGGAGTTTCCCACATGATCCGTCAGCCCGTGCTACACACGTGATGGCTGCGTCATGGCCTTATTCTTTGTGGGGGGTTTTCCCCTGACCTTTGTATTAAAATTTTATTTGTCTCTTGAAAAACAAATGATTTTGCAGAGATCAGTTTGTACTGTTTAGATCAGCGGTCACCAACCGGTGGTCCGTGAGGTCCGAAAGGTTGGCGATCGCTGGTTTAGATCATGGACTGAGTATGTGAAGGGTAGCGGCTTGGTGAACCCCTCATGCTCCTCAGTTCTTCTGGCTGTAACAGCTGTATAACAAATCAGGAGGCTTTGTAAACACTTGCACTTTTTGCTACATGCTTCAATTCCAAAAGGCAAGATTTGTACTGAGGTAGATCATTGAAAGGACTGGGTCTAAAATTAAGCCTTTGCATCTGTGAAGTTCTTATAACAGTAATAGTGCGCACTTCACAGTGAGGCAAACAAAATGTCCTGAGTGAAGGTGGAGTGAAGTCTTGCCTCTGGCGCTACAGCTTCCTGTGTCTTTATTAGGAAGCGGAAGAACTCTTTCACTTGTAAAAATGATGACTGTTTCTGCCCTGTCTGGAGAGGAGGACTGACCTTGAGGTTTTAGCCAGACTAAGGGTCCTAATAAAAAATGGGAAACCCTTCACTGAACCCCGCCAGGTTGCCCTGGGTTCAGAATGTGAAAGTGTGGGCCGCGTGCCAGCCGTGGTGAAGAGTCAGGGGTCCGGCAGGCATATTATCAGGACTGAAACTGCAGCGGGAGAAGGACTCACCTGATAATCTGATTTAATCACAATTGAATGGGAAAGAAAGCATCTGATTTCTTTGAACAAAAGGACCTTTATTTTATAGATCTGTTTTGACCAAAATGTTTAGCTATTTCCCTTAGACAAATTGGATCACACTTATCTCCCTTGTTCTATATCCTTTAATTCCAGATCTCAGGATATTTAAAAGCTAAAAACCACCCCCTTCTGACGGAAAACTTGCCTTAATTGGTACCTTAAATATTAATGTTAGTAAGATCAGGAGCTTACTATTTTATTATGATTCTTGTTCAATAATTTTTAGCTGTAAAAAAACCTCTTAGCTCTGATAGATAAAAGGAGATGTGTGTGTACATACATACACACAAAGAATAAGAAGCTGGTTGAATTGGATATATTGTGCATTTTGTTGATCACACCTAATTTTGGAATAATGCTATATTTGGTTTGCCATGGCTTTCGGGGTGTTACATGGGCCTTGGCTCTTCTGCTCCATGAAGTTTGAGGTGTATTTGTTCATCTTAAGGTAAATGAATCAAATTAGGCTTGATTCCCTGCCACCCACACAGAGCCTACTTTTTTCTTAAGGATTTATTTTCCCAGACACTACACAAAATCTTTGAAAAACTTTGCCACTTCATCCATTACACTCTTTACCACTGATTAGCAGTATTTTAGTCTTGCAAGAATATTAGGGCTTCTTTTAGAAACACAGACATCAAGACTTGCTTCCTGTGAGGTGAGTTGCACATTGTGGCTGTGGAGCGTGTAGGTTATGGCGGTGCCTGCTCCTTTTCCCGCTGTCTCCAGTGGGTCGCCTCTTTTGTTTTGGGATGTAAGGTTTTTCCTGTGCCTTTTTTTTTTTTTTTTTTTTTTTTTACTCTGTCATTTGTTTGCGGGAGATGGAGTTGCAGGATAGCATGATATTGGGGATTTTCCTCCAAACATTGCGAGTGGTATTCCTTCCTATAAATCTCAAATATGCAATCTAGTTGTGTTGGTTTCTCAGTGACAGAATGAATTGTGACCACTGGCCATGTTCTGTAGTTTTCACTGATGATGAGTTGACAAGCACCACTTACCACCTTTCTTAAGGTGGCTGTAAGTTTCCTGTTGTCCTGGAGAAAAATCACACGAGATTCTGTTCCACTGTGCGCCAGGTATCAGCAGGTACTGCGACGGGTAGAGAAGTGCCTATATTTCTGTACCCAAGAGGGCAGGAAGGAGACATACAGCCCTCTGTGAGCCTAGGGGGTGCTCTGTGGGCCTGGAGGGACAAGGGAGAAAGACCACTGACAGCGAGGCTGGCCATACCGCAGTCAGGCCAGGAGTGGCTGACCTAGGGAGATAACTTGCTTTGCTTAAAAGTAGATGTTTAAGTGATGCTTAACACAGGCAGTATTAACTTTGCCTTTTGTTCAGGCCGTCAACATGTATTGTTAAAATTACTGCACATCCCCCTCAGATAACAAGTATACACTGTTCATGTTGGTGTGTGTATGTGTGTGTGTTTATATGCGTGTGTCCCAAATCTTGTTTTAATTTTTTTTTTCCTGAATGTGATTACGTTTTGGATGATACCTGTGCAGGGTTGCCTTTTTTTATTTATTACCATTATATATTATATTATATTATATTTTTTGCTTTCTTATAACTTTAGAGTAAAGTCAAATCTTGGTATTATTAAAATTGTTTTAAAAAGAAATAAATTGTCCAGTTGATAAATGAAGGTCACTGGCCTATCTCTAAAATAATATGTGTTTTTCTTTAATTATTGTGGAATAATGTGCCAGCTATGTAGTCCACACAGTGATTTGTATGTAGGATGGGGAAGCAGCGATGCTCTCAATGGGAAGATGTGCAACACAGATAAAGGGGACTCCATGTATTTTATCTCCTTCAGCAATGAAACTGCAACCTGGGGCTTTTGTGAATAAAATTTAGCTGCCTTGTATAGTCCTTTGAAAGAGACATGTGATCTGTGAGAATTAAAGTTTGCTTTCTTTTTTTAGAAGAAAAATTTGCAAAAGATCTTTCCAAAGAGAATGTGCCACAGATCTTTTGCTTGTTCTCTGTAATGAGGATTAATTGCTGTTTAAAAAAAAAAAGTATAATTGATTTGTTCACTTTCAAATTCTTTCCTTTTCACAAGAGGATCGAGCTGTAAAAAAAAAAAAAATTAATAAAAATTTAGAGAAATCATTTGTGTTGAATCATGCTTCCATTTTGTCTGAATAAAAAATTTCTAACATTGTTATGTTTAATACCATTTATAGCCAAGGAGAGTCTCACATAAAATAATGTACCCTCATTTGCATATGTGTTCAAATGGGAAAAGTGCGGGCACAGGGTGGCTCATCCTTCAGTTCAGTTTATGTTCAAGATCTTAATCACACAGAAATTAGCCTGAGATCACAAGTGTGGCTTCTTATCCTAACATCTACTGCCGGGTGCACCTAGGGACCCCGTTTGCCTGCTTTCCATTTGTCTGCTGGTAGACAGATTTGTAGAATGCTGGTATTGAAAAGAATCTAAAAGGCCTGGCCGGCGTGGTTCAGTGGTTGAGTCTCGACTTACGAACCAGGAGGTCACGGTTCAATTCCCGGTCAGGGCACATGCCCAGGTTGCGGGCTCAATCTCCAGTGGGGGGGCATGCAGGAGGCAGCCGATCCATGATTCTCTCATCATGGATGTTTCTCTCTCTCCCCCCTTTCTATTTTTTTTTTTTTAAAGAAAATAATCTAAAGGCCATCTGGTCTCTCCCCCCTTGGCCACTGAAGGAAATACTCTACCTCAATGGTTTTATGAAATCAGAAAGGACCTAACTTCCTCAACCTGAGTCCTGGCTCTCCAGCTTGCTATGTGACCTCCCTGGGCCTCCTCTCATTTACAGACTGTTGACTGGTATCTACCAAATAAAAGCAAGGATTGCATTAGGTGGTATATGAAGAGTGCTTAGCATCATGCCTGGCATAAACACTCAGAAACTGCTGGCTCCTTTACCTTCCTCCCTTCATTGCACCACAACATCCCAACACCTGATCCTCCAGCCTCTGAGCACTGAGAAAGACCTCACTGTCCACCTCTTCCCCTTTAATTTTGTTCTCCCTTACATTAGGGTGACTTCTACTTATTGGTCCTAATGAACAAACGGGGACCCAGCCTGGGCGAGCTGGCATTAAGCTGGCAGTAACTGGTAAGTATGCAAAGGTAAGTTGGGAAAAGGGAGTATTTTAGTCCAGATGAAGCTGCAGGGAAGAGATCTCATTTGAAAGATGGGTTATACAGTCTCTTCTGGGCTCTCATCTTTTTCACAGAAACTCTGTGTCATATCTTGTTTATCACAAGTTTTTGGTAATAGTTGTCCATTGTGTGGTTGTACTAGTTTTAACCAACCCCCTTGTTAGACTTTGAGATTATTCCTAATTGGGGATATTATAAAGAATGCTTCCACAACCATCCCTGAAGCAAATTACTTGAGCAGATTCAATATTTTACCTTATTTATTTAAATGCATGCATGTGTATATTTATGCTGAGTTATGGTTTACCCTAAAAAATTCAGCATGCATTTCTTAGGACATTTTCCAACACAACCACAATACCCTTATGTCATCTAAGAAAATTTCTCAACATCTAATGTTTATAGTCCATATTCAAATTTCTGCAGTTGTCCCCACAAAGGTGTTATAGTTTATTTTTTTGAACCAGAATGCAGTCATTTCATGCATTACATTTAGCTGTCTCTTTAATCTTAATCTAGAACAACAACAAAAACACCTTTTTTTTTTTTTTTACTACAACACTCTACATCTTGGATTTCTGTGTTTCCCTAAGTGTTCTTTAATTCATTCCTCAATCTCCCGTATTTCCTGCAAACTGGGTTAGGTTGGTTGAGAGATGACCAGAACTCTTGTAAACACAGGCTTTGCCCTGTTCCAACAGCCTTTCACTTAGTGATGTCAGCATGCACAGATAATCCATCCCTTTACCCAGGGGTCCTCAAACTGCGGCCCGCGGGCCACATGCAAATACAAATATTGTATTTGTTCCCGTTTTGTTTTTTTACTTCAAAATAAGATATGTGCAGTGTGCATAGGAATTTGTTCATAGTTTTTTTTTAAACTATAGTCCGGCCCTCCAACGGTCTGAGGGACAGTGAACTGGCCCCCTGTTTAAAAAGTTTGAGGACCCCTGCCTTTACCAATCCTCAGCATTGTTTAGAAAACGCAAATGGGAAGAATCGCCCAGCTGACAGGTGGGAAATGATGTCTTCTGATGTTTTCATTTACATTTGTATCTCTGTGGTACTGAGTACATTTTTTTGGTCAGGTATGAAGTTACCGTTTGCAGTGCGTGGGTTATGTGGCCAATACAGTAGGCCCACCATGAGTGCATGGTGATGTGGGGAAGGTTCTGTTAATGAAGAAAAGGGATGCTGAGCAGTAAGAAGAGTAGATGATCCTTCCAGACTACTCATCTTTTCCCTTTTGATTTATATATGCGATAGTAACTATGTTGTAAACATTTCTCTCCAAATTACCTTTTGGTTTTCATCATGGCAGTTTTTTAAGTAGGTTGACTTCTACCAGAGTCTGTTTTGATGTCTCAAGCAGGTAAGAGCTGTTTCCCAGACACTGAGTCAGGTTTACTACCACTGAATAACGGCAACTCAGAGGTGAGTAGTAATTTCCTGTTGTGTCCTCAGTTGTTTTATAAGCAAGTATTTAGCACTTTTGGAGCCTGAATTATTTAAAGACACTGTCCACTCTTTTCCAGGGTTGTTGGGAACATAATCATCACAATTTAGGTGGCCTTTAGAACCCCCCAGTCCAGTCCTAACAACTTTGAAGCCCAATGGGTCGTAGCGGCTTAGCTGCTGTTTGGTTGTGGTAGGTAACTAGAATTGTCTTAGAACAGGACTAGTTCAGTGTTTGTGGTTTCCCTGTTTTAATGTGGCTGGAAGTGAGACACCACGGCTTGGGTAATAAAGACCTGTGCTTGAAGTACTTTCTAAACAGATGATTCCATTTTAGATTTAAAAGATTGTGTGTCTGCTCTGGATAAGTGCTTTAAATCACCCTTCTCTGTGATGGGGGCCCAGTCTTAACATCTCATTTGCCTTATTTCATGTGTGGGAGGCAGAAAGAATTATGGGCTTGTATTTCCACTGCTAAATATTCCTGGAAACTATCATCTAAGCAACAATACACATACACACACACAAAAGTACATGCACACATATTTCGACATCTGTGGACACTACTGGACATGGAAAACCAATGGGATGCAACTACATGGGCTTTAGAAAAATGTCTTCAACTCTCCATCTCCATGCTTTTCCATCTTTGTCCTGTAGTCTTCCCAGAAGCCCCTCTTGCAGGTGGACTTGGTACCAGGATTGTAGCTGAGAACATTACAGGCCTCTCACAGGAGCAAGCAAGTGACCTGGTAGCGCAGTTTTGCAGACACTCCCAAGCTACGTACACATGAAAATCATTTTGGAATTTTTATTTTAAATACTGTTTTCAACCTGATTTACAAATAGTTTTGGTTTAAAAGAATCAAATGACACAAAAGCATATAGAGCAAAAAGTACAAGGGTAAGTCTACTTCCTCCCTCCCCAGAGTTAACAGCCATTTAGTTTTGTGGGTTTTTTATAATATATTTTTATTGATTTCAGAGAGGAAGGGGGAGGGAGAGAGAGAGAGAGATGCCAATGATGAGAATCATCATTTGGCTGCCACCTGCCTCCTACTGGGGATCGAGCCTGAAACCCAGGCATGTGCCCTGACCTACCGGTTCATAGGTCGATGCTTAACCACTGAACCATCCTGTTGGCTAGGCAACAGCCATTAAGTTGGGTGCATCTTCTTCAAGAACTTCTTTTGGGCACTTCCCCATTGTTCTCTCCTCCCCCTCCCCCCTTATTGTCTACATTTTCACAGTTTTTAGCAATTTGAACCTTTTTTTTAGCCAATGTAAAGGTTTGTAATCCTGTTGCTCTGCAAAGAAACAACTTTGTTTCATTGATTCCTGTTGTTTTTCTACTCATTTTTTCTCTAACCTTTATTTTCTTCCATCTGCTTGCTTTGAATTTAGCTTGCTCCTCTTCTACTTCCTTAAGATCTAGTTAGGTTATTGATCTGAGATCTTTCTTCTTTCTTCATGTCTGCACTCATAGTTATAAATAACCCTCTCAGCACTGCTTTCATTGTATCCCATATGTTTTGCTATGCTGTGTTTTCATCGTCATTTGTCTCAAGGTATTTTCAGATTTCCCTTTGGTTGAAAGCAGTGGAAAAGTGCCTTGCAATAGGTGGGGCTCAGGTTAGGAGGGCCCACGAAACCCAAAGAGCTTGAGACTGTACTATAAGCAGCGTTTATATAAATTGTAAAAACCCAGGTATTAGGGACTACATGTTTGTGTCTCCCCAAATCCATATGTGACACCCTAAGCCCCAATAGGATGGTCTTAGAAAGTGTGATCTTTGGAATGTAATTAAGTTTAGATGAGATCGTGCAGGTGGAGGCCCCATGATGAGCTTTGTGTCCTTTATAAGAAGAGCCAGAGACTAGACCCAGAGTGCTCCCTGCCCAGCCCCCTCCTTCCTCCCCTCCTGGAACCTGACTGTGAGGGCACCTGATCTCGGCCCCCCAGCCTCCAGGACTGAGAAGAAATGTCCAGTGTTTAAATGCCCAACCGAGGGCACTTAGTTGCAGCAGTTTCCCAAACTAAGCCATCAGGGAAATGTCTTGCCCCCAGTGTCAAATATAAACATTCTCTTCAGACCATGAAATAGGAAATCGACCAGATATAATAAAAAATATGTTCAAAAGTGTCATCTCCCGACCTAGCCCGTTTGTCTCAGTGGATAGAGCACTGGCCTGCTGACTGAGGGTCCTGGGTTCGATTCTGGACAAGAGCACATACTTCGGTTGCAAGCTCAATCCCCGGCCCTGGTTGGGGCACGTGTGGGAGGCAATCAATCGATGTGTGTCTCTCTCTGTCTCTCCCCCTCCCTTCCACTCTCTCTAAAAATCAATGGAAAAATATCCTTGGGTGAGGATTACAAAAAGAAAGTGCCATCTCCTCCCAGCAAAGACCTCATGCCTAGAGACATTGGGTGCGTGCTCTGGGGGCTCAGTCTGAGGCAGCTGTGTGATGACTGATGGGAACAAGAAGCAGGAACAAATCCCAA